TACTAAGCAAGGTGATCCAAAATCAGGAAATTTTCATATATATGGCTTCTAGCCTATAACGTATGCATGTATATGTGGAAACAGCTATTAAGTGTGGGTACAGTATAACATTTAATGAGGAGACCAAGAAATGTGGTATTAAGTGATATTGTACATATAGAAAAGTACAGTAAACAGAATCCCACTAGGAAGAACTAACATCCTTTGGCTTCATATACTTTATTTTTTTAATTTTTTTGTTTGTTTGTCTGTTTGTTTGCTTGGTAGGTTGGTTGGGTTTTTTGGTTTTTCTTTTTCTTTTTTTTTTTTTACAGATTTATTTATTTATTTATTATATGTATTCACCATTGCTCTCTTCAGACACACCAGAAGAGGGCATCAGACCCCATTGCAGATGGTTGTGAGCCACCATGTGGTTGCTGAGAATTGAACTCAGGACCTCTGGAAGAGCAGCCAGTGCTCTTAACCACTGAGCCATCTCTCCATTCCCTTTGGCTTCATTTATAATTACGGCTTTTGTATCGTGGTCATGTATTACATGACAGACACTAAATTTATAGTTTTATTCTGACCTGCACTTTGGGGTCTTTCATAGACAACTTCAAGCCTTGACTCCAGTGGCCCAGTGATTCCTAAATAAAAAAAAAAAAACATTGTAAATGTCACGCCAATAATTAAATGGAGCTAATACTACTTATCAGCAAAGTCCAAATACAACACGGAAGTGAGGTCAGTTTTTGAGAATTACACTAGACTTCCTTTACTTCAGTCCATCACCCTTTAGGACCACAAGCCTCCCCATCGTCTTCTACATTTAGAACTGGGTGTAAGGATGGAGGCCTGCTGTGGAACTTTGTCAATGTGCAAGGATTGCTATTGCAAATGGGAGCAGCTGTGATCCCCTGAATAACACTGTGACAAGACTGGGCCAAATATTCACTCACTGGGGGATGAGGAGGGAGGAGACACAAGCAGCTATCAGCTGCTGGAGAGGGGACTCCTGTCTGACAGGGTAGTCACACTTAAGTTGCCCATGCTCCTGTAACCACCATCAGACTCACTGGTTCACCAACTTAAACTTGGGTGGAATGGTTGGTCTGTCATTAGTGCCATATCTGGGGTGAAGAGACATCTGTTCACATCTCCCCAGGAAAGTTCCTTAAGGCCAAAACTGCCAGAGTACAAATCAGCCTCCTTGCCTATTGACACTCCAGCTGCAGCCTAGCCAAGTGTCTCCTTTGACATCAACATGTGAATAACAGTATCTAGGAAGGCTTTAGTGTGACATCAACAAGTGAATAACATTATCTATTGAAGGCTTCAGTGTTAACAACCAAACAGACAAGCAAATGACCCATGTTTGTATTAAACATTAATTTCACTATTATGGGAAACAGATGGGTGAGGAGTGGATGAAGTCCTGAATGAGTGTGTGTTGTTGCCATGACCAGTCATGGCAAGGACCTCAGTGCCTACATGGATTCCCCAGATAAGGCCCAGAGGGATGGCAAACCCCTCCTCTGGTCCAAGTACCAGTGTTTGCAAATGGCTGGATAGGCGGTGTACGCAGAAACCATCAACCACAGCTCCTCCTCCAAGATGGTTACAGCCTGAGACTGCGCCCTCACAGAGACCTCCTACCAGTATTAGCTAAACCTGTCTCCTGGCTCAGCTATATACAATAGACTCACCTCCTCAATTCAGATGTATAAAATAATCATGCTGAGTTTCTGGGCTGTTGGTGGTGCTGAATCTCCATTAGAGAGCACAGCCCACCTAATTCCAGCTATACTCTCTTTTTTTAAATTGGCTATTTTATTTATTTACATTTCAAATGTTATCCCCTTTCCAGTTTCCCCTCAAGAAACCCTCTATCTCATTCTCCCTTCCCCTGCTTCTGTGAAGGTGCTCACCCACCCACCCATCCCCTCCTGCCTCCCTGCCCTGGCATTCCCCTACACTGGGGCATCAAGCCTTCCCAGGACCAAGTGCCTCTCCTCCCACTGACAACCTACAAGGCCATCCTCTGCTACATATGCGGCTGGAACCACGGGTCCCTCCATGTGGACTCTTTGGTTGGTGGTTTAGCTCCTGGGAGCTACAGGGAGTCTCGTTGGCTGATATTGTTGTTCTTCGTATGGTTCCAAACCCCTTCAGATCCTTCAGTCCTTTAACTCCTCCATTGGGGATCCTGGGCTCAGTCCATTGATTGGCTTAATTCCAGCTTTTCTTTATGTTTGTCTGTCTGGTTTTTCATTCCCTCACTTAGCCAGGCAGGGTGTGGCACACTGTCATCACTGACTGTCCTGTCTTTCTTCAGGTGGTTTACCTCAGGAACTTAATAGAAAAGCATCTAAAGGGACATTCACCAAGTGATTTTCAGGCCACAAACAAGTGATTCTTTCATCATGGTTAAAAACCCTCATTAGATTAATACCACCTCACTGTATACAAAACAATCTATAGTGTACAAAACTATTAAGCAGTCATTATATCTCAATTCATCTCCACATCACCTACCAATCACACTAGTCTCACCTCTTTGGTGGTTCCATCCTTGCCCTTCTTAGGGGGCACAGAGCACTGGCTGGGGCTGCTCCCAGGTGCCAGCCCTGTCCCAGACTTAGCTTCCATCTCCTCACTATCACAGTCTGATCTCTTTCTCTTCCTTTGTGTTGGGTTAGGGCTCTCTGCCACTTCCTCAAACTCTACAGTGTATGGATAAAGTTCATTCACCATGTGAAGAACCTGACCAGGCAGCAGCTTCATCTCTTGGTCCTTCCCAATGATGACCGAGTCAATGCTGGTGGGATTGACCCCCATCTGTGGATATACAATTGTAATGTAACCATAACAGCAACAATGCTATCGGTGATAGAGTTGCTACTACATTAACTGCTTACTCCACCTGACTATTATTCACCCCATCACTCCCCCATGACAGAGGAGCATTCATTAGCTGACACACACAGTCTAAAACAACATCATAAGAAAACTATCAAGGGCTGGGCGGTGGTGGCGCACGCCTTTAATCCCAGCACTTGGGAGGCAGAGACAGGTGGATTTCTGAGTTCGAGGCCAGCCTGGTCTACAGAGTGAGTTCCAGGACAACCAGGGCTACACAGGGCTACACAGAGAAACCATATCCCGAAAAACCAAAAAAAAAAAAAAAAGAAAACTATCAAGTATAAAACTGGAAAGATAAGTCACGAACACACATACCTGCTTAACTTTGACATATCCCTTGTTACACTCTGCTTTCAACTGTACTGAAAGAAATAAGAAAACTTTAAACACAGATGCAATCAAAACTGGGAACTCTGTTGTCCCCTAAGGACAACAAAGCTTGACTTCTCCAGGCAACCCCCTGCTGAGCCTGTTCTGCTTCTGCCTAGCCTACAAATCCCACCAATTTCTAATAGTTTCAAACCCTTCTATAAAATGTCAATCAGTGAGCTGGCCATGGTGGAAATAACAGACTTGGGAAGTAGAGTTAAGATCAGTTCAAGGACAGCCTTGGCTGCCTAGCCATGTGTGAGGTCAGTCTGGAATATGTAAGAATATCTTAACCATACACACACACACACACACACACACTATATTAGTGAACGTATTCTTTTACCTACTGCTAATAATTTGGCTGAAAACCTGGGTTGGTGAGGGGAAGTGGAGGCTGGAAAGGTGGCTCATTGGCTAATAGTACTTACTTGCTGCTGCTTTTCCCAAAGAATCTAAGTTTGGTTCCCAGCATTGGACAGCTCATTACCACCTTTGACCCCAGTTCCAGAGGAATCTGATGCCTCTGGCCTCCACAGGGGACTGAAGTCAAATATACCCACACAGACACACATATAATTTTAAAAATAATAAAAATAAATCAGAAAAATAAATGCTCAGTATCTTTCACTCTTTGAAGCTGGTTGCGGTAGCATACACCTTTAAATCCCAGCACTTATGAGGCAGAAGCAGGTGGATCTCTGTGAGTTAGAGACCAGCCTGGTCTACATAATGAGTTTCAGGACAGCCAGCGCTACATAGTGAGTCTCAAAAAAAAGAAAAAAGCTGTGATGTAGTTTTCATGAATCCCTATAGACCCCTAGCCAGCTCAGGACCACAGACTACCTAAAGGAGAAAAGCTCCTAGCTCATGATTAGATAAGATTCTACTGTTGGAGAGAAGGAAAAAACCTACCAAGAGGTGGGGCTGAAGCTAAAGTAGAAGAGGACTTGAGAGGGCTTCCCTTAGCAAGAGCTTCGGGGCAGGGAGTATCACCATCACGTGACTTCAGCAGAGAAAGAGGTAAAAGATATGATCTTGGAAAACAAAAGTTCAAGCTGGCCTGAAGGAATGGAAAGAATGTTCAAGAAAGCACTGCAGAACCCCAACTCTAAATCCATAACCTTAGGATTTACACTGAGCATGCCTACAGAGAGAGAGAGAGAGAGAGAGAGAGAGAGAGAGAGAGAGAGAGATTCCCTTTTAGCTTTTCCCATAAACCATTTGAAAGATGAGCTGGATACCACACTCTTAAAGAGAACTACCCTCTATGTGTGGCAGTGTGTAAAGGCTGACACCACCCCACTGTGACACAGATAGGGTTTTAGCTTGGAGATTCCAGAATTTACTTGTCTTTCTGCTCAATGGATAATACTGGACACAGCAGAGTACAAGACTCAATCTTGACATCCCAATGTAACAAGATGTCAGCCACTCATCCCTTATCTGAATCTGTCTTACGTGTTACTGCACTGTGAAGGCAGACTCCAGGATGACCCAGCCCAGGTGTTAGCTAAAAGAACCCAACTTATGAGCCTTGTTTTTAGAATACACCATGTCTTGGTTTTTCAGCAAGAACATCAGAAAATGTGTTTCTCTGGTCATAATTATCCTACATAACTAAACACAGTCATCTTCACATTGCTATGACCAGTTACCTTGCTGTCGGGAACATTTCTTATCTATGATCTTAGTCTCTGGGCTTCGACCAATCACAACAGCTTCCAAATGGGGAAGTTTGATTCGTTGGTGCTGGCTGTCCTGTCTCACCAACCAGCACACCCGCATCTTGGCTCTAAAAACAAAGCAGAATTACTGAAAACCAAATCACCCAGGCCACGCCCAGCCTCACCACATACAGGATGGTCACTGAGACAGGTGACTTCACCTCCCTAGTCCCAACTTCCTCACCTATAAAGTTGTGATAATGACAGGACTCGGGAGGCTGCTGAGGATTGATGCAGGTAGTATTTATCCCTACCAATCATGCTAAGCATTCAAACACTTGTTACACATTTGTTGCTACCCTATGCCAGGCATTAGGTTAAATGCAGAGTGTCCCTCAGAAGTGAGTAGAAGAATTGTCCCTGTAAGTTGAAGAGCCTGGAGTAGGGTGTGTGAGCAGACAATACATATACTAGTTACTGTGATAAGATACAAGCACTCTAAGAGAGTAACCAAACATGGCATTAGCCCAGTGACAAGACTGATCCTTGAGTGTACTAAAAAGGGTTTAATTTCAAGGAATCTAATACCCTGTCCTGACATCCATGGGCATTACACACATATGGTATATTTACATATATACAAACAAAACACTCTTAAAGAAAAAAACAACCCTAAAGAAAAAAAGTTCTTCATATCTCTGGTGTCTTTCTACGTATTAGGCTTCTCTCTCACATTCTCTTTTCTTTTTGTTTAGAGATGGGGAGAGCTAACTGAAGTCAGGGCTTTTCACATGCTAGGAAAGTGTTATTCCACTGAACTACATTCCTGGTCCTTAATTTTATTTGAGAGAGAATGTGTGTGCTTGTCAGTATGTACACCACATACATGCAATACCTGCAGAAGCCAGATCGTCAACTTCAGCATTGTGTGTGTGTGTGTGTCTGTCTGTCTGTTTGTCTGTCTGTGTGTCTGTGTGTTTGTGTGTAGTGTGCGTGTGGTGTGTGGTGTGTGTGTCTTACATTCACAAATCCAGAGCATTTTGGCTGGTGGTAGCAAGAAGCGTGCACCGCCAGCAGGGAGTTCAGAGCGGGTTAACAATTTACCACTTCAGTTCAAAGTTCTCTGTCAGTCAGAAAACACCTCCAAAACCACTAGGTCAGAGAAGGCCAGAGGCCAAGGGGGCTGAGCAGGAAGGACTAAAACAGGCATCTCAGGTTAAAGAGCAGACTTCTACAAGGTGAGCATGAGTCAAGAAGGCAGACTTGGCTGCACCAGATACACTGCCTCAAGAGTAGGGCAAAAGTAAGGAAAGAACACCAGGATGAGAGAGAAGCTAAGCTTCAACACAATCGGCAGGAGACAAAGCCAAGTTTTACATGTCGGAGTATGATGAAACAACAGAAGCCCAAGAATACCTAGCTAACAGCTATGTATAGGCAGAGGAGTGCAGGAAGCTCGGATCAGAGACTAATTCAGAAGCTGCTAATAAAATAGAGGTCAGAAAGTCCAAAAGACAGTTCAACAGGTCTCTGAGAGGAGCTGATATGAATATAAAGTCAGCTGTTCATCTAAGATCCTAAACCCAGGCCCAGTAGTGGTGGTACATCCCATTTATAATACTATGTTCCATGGGCATCTATTGGACCTGCTACAAATTGATAGATGGGCAGGTAATAGACAGGAAAGTGAAGCATGTCCTCACTGGGTATTGAGAAACAGGTCTTATGACTGACAAACAAGCCAGCAGACAGTGCAGCTTCTGAGTAGGAAGAGAGGATCCAATGAACAACTAGGAACATGGCAGCACAATGGAAATAGCACTCCTTTCTGCCACAAATATATAAACATTCCCTGAAGTTCTTAAGTTGTGATGTTCTGATATACTACTTCCTGGGAAGCTGATGCAGTTACTGTACAATGTTTACGCAACAAACCTTAAACAGCAGGTTGGCCCATTTGGGCCTCCAGACCCAATTTGTAGGAATTAATGACTGTAGAATACAAGAACATAGAAGGATGGGTGTTCCTTAACCTTAGCCAGACCCTCCAGTAAAATTCCATAAACTGCAAACATCATGACAGCAGACATCATGCCTACCTTAGCACTGTGACTTCCAGCATTTACTATCTAGCATACAACAAGTCTACAAAAATCAGCAAGCTTACAATAAAGGTCAACAGATAACTGATCAGATGATAACCCTACCAAAGTTCTCAAGGTCTTCCACCTTCTCTTTACTTCCTGCTCCTTCTTGGGTTGCTTGAGATAGGCTCTCACTATGTACCTCTGTCTGGCATAGAATTTATTATATAGACCAGGAAAGTTTTAAACCCACAGAGATGCACCTGCCTCTGCCTCTGAGTGTTTGAGATGAACAGGCGCTCAAACACACCCAGTTGGGTTCCTTATCTTAAATAGAAAGCCCCAAAACAGGAGCAGTTCATTCTATCATTCCCTCCCCCTTCTGCAATGGTCCCTTTGCTGACTACAGCACTGGACACTACTCCTTGATTAATTATGGTTGGTTGGTTCGTTTGTTTTTTTTTTTGTTTTTCTTTTTCCAGACAGAGTTTCTTTGTGTAACCTTGGCTGTTCTGAAATTAGGTCTATAGACAAGGCTGTCCTCAAACTCAGAGACTTACCTACCTCTGCCTCCTTCTGGGATTAAAATCATACACCACCACTGCCACTCAGCTATTTTTGATTCCTAGGTATCTTAGGGTTTCTCCATTGCTGTGAACAGACATCATGACCAAGGTAACTCTTACACAGAACAACATTTAATTAGGACTGGCTTACAGGTTCAGAGGTTCAGTCCATTATTATCAAGGTGAGAGCATGGCAGCATCCAGGCAGACATGGGGCTAGAGGAGCTGAATGTTCCACCTCTTGTTCTGAAGGCAGCTAGAAGACTGGCTTCCAGGCAACTAGGACAAGGGTCTTAAAGTCCACACCCACAGTGACATGCCTACTCCAACAAAGCCATACCTCCTATTAGAGCCACTCCCTGGGCCAAGCATATACAAAGCATCACATTAGGGAACCCAAATGATCTGACAAGTGACATGAGGCAAGAAATCTATCTTGAAGCACTGTTAGCACAAGAATTCTCTGCAACAATGGAAATGTTCTAAACCTTCAAGCTGCACTGATAACTGAGTTTCTGAAGGGCCATTAGCACAAGTAAGGAACTGAATCTCCAATTAATTCAAAGTTACACAAGTGACTAATGCCCAACACAGACTTGAATTTAAGACTCTCAGCTTCTAATTCCTCAGAGGTTACTTATTCACAGAACTGATCCCACTGGCCATCCTTCTCACTCCCCAGACATACATGCAGGCACCTTTACCTGCACATACATCCTTCAAGAATGCAGTATGGCTCCTGGAGAAGTTATTCTAAACATGATATTCTAATGCTGACTTATCCTTCTCTCCTTTCTAGAAACCCAAATCTTAGATTTCAGGTCTCATCTCCTTGGAGGCCAATGGAATCATCATCTTTATTGATACAACTTTCACAGCTCTCATAGCCTTGGGAACAGACTCTCCACTGTATCCCCTTCAAGAAACATGGAAGAAAGGTCTCTGGAGACTGCTGCTGGGCTGGTTTTGTATCCCAGGATCCCAGGTGTTCAGCATAACTTAGCCATTGAACTGATCATGGGGTTCTCAATAGAGGAGTCAGAGTGAAGACTGAAGGAGCTGAAAGGATTTGTGGCACCATGAGGAGAGCAACAATACCAACCAACCACAGCTCCCAGGGTCTAAACCACCAGCCTGGGAGCACTTAGGGGGGGGATCCAGGGCTTCAGCTGAATATGTAAGAGTGGAGGGCCCTGCTGGGCATAGGTGGAAGAAGAGAACCTTGACCTCATGAAGGCTGGATGCCCCAGGGGGTGGGAATTTTGAGGGTGGGGAGGTGGGGGGGGTAGATAGAGGTTACATCCACAGAGAAGAAGGAGGAGGGGTAAGGGGATAGGGGGTTCCTGGGTGGGTGGGGGATGGGGTAAGGGGACAACATAGGAAATGTAAATAAAACATCCAATAAAAAAAAATTAAAAAAAAAAAAAACAAACTACATTGCGGGGCTGGAGAGATGCCGTAGTGGTTAAGAACACTGACTGCTCTTCCAGAGGAGCCAGGTTCAATTCCCAGCACCCACGTGGCAGCTAACAACTGTCTGTAGCTCCAGTTCCAAGAGGATCCAACACTTTCTTCTGGGTCCCCATGGGCTGCATGCACATGGTACACAGTCATACATGCAGACAAACACTCATACGCAAAATAAAAATGTAAATGTTTTAAAACATTCTACACGGTGGGGACTATGCTAAATGTCTCATTTATAATACCGCACCTTCACTAGGGAAAATTAAGGAAGAGACAAATAAGTACCATGTCAGGCAAACCAAGACTGTATGCCAGTTAGAATTTGAACTCTCTCCAAACAATAGGTTCTTAACCACTACACGATCTTGTTTGGGGGCTCACCCATTCATTCACTCAAGATTATTTATGCCTACTACGTGCTTCATGCTATTCTAGCATTGGAAATCAAGAGCTAATACATATGTCCTCCTTTCAAAAGCCTTCAATCTCATAGAAGACCCAGAAATAATTATAATCAGTAGGGTATGATTTGTCTGTAGAAAGAGTATTATGGAAATACAAACCCTTAGTACCATGTGAAGAAAAGTTTTCTAAAGAGGGGATAGGTGTTTGAGGCTAATAAACTTGATTAATTTGGTAGGATTAGGCAGCCTATTTGAGCAACAAGAACCAGAAAATGGAATTAGGAAGTCATTTCTGGGCAAAGAGAACTAGAGAGGCAAACACAAACCCATGGCACATTGAGCATGGGGAAGCACTAAGTGTTAATGGCCTAAAGCCGAAGACAGTAAAGGGACTAGAGACCCAAACAAGGTCCAGATAAAACCCCATGTGACTGGCTGACAAGCTGAAAATGTGTACATTTTAATAGGTTTTGTAATTCAGTAGGTACGGAATGCTTGCTGAAAGAACAGGGAATCAGGGACAGATATACCAGCAAACAAGTCGGTAACAACCAAGCAGGAATTGGACAAAGATTTCCTTACAAAGATCATCTTGGAAAAAAGTATAAAAACCAAATATGCATTTCTTTCCCACAAACAATTCTGTATAAAGATTTCTTTGACGGAGGCCTGTAGTCTCAGTACTAAGGAGGCACAGCCAGGATATCCAGAAGTTTGAGGTCAGACTCTACATACTGTAACCCACCTTGAAAAAGAAAAAAATTGTCCAAGCCCGGTGGCAAAAGCCTGTAGCCCATCACTGGAAGGTAGGGACAGGATGATCAGGAATCTGAGGCCAGCTGGGCTACATGAGATTTCTCAAATTAAGTGGGGAGGCAGGGACTCTTAAGAAATCCCTAATATTTGTCGATTTCTCAAAAGTAATTTCCCATCAATTCCAAATAGATGTAATTTCAAAAACCCCTGCTTTGTTGAATCAAGTCTCTGCACTGTATGAGAAAGGCCTTACTGCTTCCGGCATTCTTAAGGCCCGCTGAGAACACTGCTAGGGCACCTCAAGTTACTCTTGGAAAGCGTTTCTGGCAGAAACACTTTCCCGTCAGGCTGAACAACCCCGTTGGCATGGACACTGTCCACTCTTATCTGTAAATCTTTTCATGCTGATCTTGCAGCCAACTAAGTTCTGGAAGTCGGGTGGGGGGGGGGGGGGGGGGAGTGAGACAGGCCGGAACGACGCGGCGGAAACCAAAACTCTGAAACACGCCCACCTGAGCAGGAGGAAAGGGTGGAGCCTAGTCCACCCAGAAGAAGGAAACATCGAACTCCACCCTCAAGGTCACCGCTCCGGGTTAGCAGCCCGGGCCTCTGCTCGCTTCTAAATCAACCAGCTACGAAGGCAAGCGGACCACTAGCTTACCTCGACCGCAGAAATCCACAAGCCTCCACGTTACTCCACTGCGCCTCGGCGCTTCCGGTGCTGAAAGATGACGTCAAAAATTACTGCCTAGCAACCGATGACGATTCAAGTATCTTTTCGAGAATTGGCTGAAACGTTCCCTCGCCAGATAGAAAAGTGGTCGTAGCAGCGAGTTGTTACCCGGGAAGACAACTCCTTTTCCTTCTCTGAGGCATCTAGCTATCACAGCCTTCAAGTATCTAAATCCAGAGAGATATCTGACAGCAATCTTCTGTGGCTTATCTACGCAGCCATGTCGTCTCTTAGCACTTCCTCCTCAGGAAGCTTGCACTATGTTAAAGCCATCATTAAAGGGAAGGAACGAGGTTGGAAGTAGTGAGACAAATTCATTCTGTAGCCCAAATTGGCCTTAAACTCGCGAGAATCTCCTCTTGCCTTAGATTCCCCAGTGCTGAGATTGCAGGTGTTAGCTACCAAACACAGCTTTGAAGACATCGTTTCAGCTACAGGTTGGAGTGCCTTACCACCAACGTTCAAATTACATCTTTCTTTCTATAAGGAAAAAAAAAAAAAAGACTGAAGAGAGAGACAGAGGAACCCTGCTAAGATTTTTTTTTTTTATGATGTCTTCACTAAATGAACTGAGGGCAATCAGCAAGGCAGGAGGTTGGGATGACATATTTGTACTGATTTTTATAGCAATTCCAGGACGTTCCCTAAAAGTCCTGTATTGTAAATCACCAAAGACTTCTTGGCAGATGAAAGAATTCCTATCTCGTGAGTAAAATTAGAGTGTAGAATCTGAAACGCAGTAGAAACTGAGCCCTATGGAGTCCCTTTTTTTTTGGGGGGGGGAGTAGTTAGACAAGGATTCACTGTGCCCTAGACTAATCTCAAACTCAAGATCCCCTTGCCTCTACCTCTGAAATACTGGGATCACAGGCCTGCACCCCCATTCTCAACTAGGAGCTTTTTTGTTTCTTGATCAAATGGGTTACTATAGTTTTCCTGTTGAAAAGCAGGCTCCACTCTCTGATGGAGCTGACAAGACAGGATGGGAGGATGTCCCTGGGAACAAGGGAAAGACGTGCTTTTGTTTGGCAGAGAAGGTGCTGGTGTATGTTAGGATCAGAGCAGGAAGGGAGGAGGCGTCTCAAGTCGTACCAGCCTCAAGACTGAGAATATGGTCCGTAACTGCTTCAGATACCGAGGCAGATCTGGTGACCTGACAGTTTGCGTTTTCCCTCAGGATTAGGCCTCTTAGCCAAGGCTTCTACGCAGTCTCCATTGTGTCTCTTACAACTAAAAATTAAACTAGGTCATTTGTACAAAATTGGACAGAGTTTTCCTAGCTACTGTATTAGATCTAATCCATTGTCTGCAGTGCACTGACCAGAAAAGCAAGGTTGTTTGGAACAATGCACTATTAAGGGCATGGCAGGCACTTAAGACATTCACTGGGGTTCACATTGTTAGGAGACTGTGCACCAAAAGTTTTCCAGCTTCTCTATGAATCAAACAACTACTAATTTTTGTCTTCCTAAAGCCCCACTATTCTGCTCTTAGCTTCCATGGGTTTGACCAGTCTGGAAATAACATTTAAGTAAAATCATGTAGTGTTGGTTTTTGTAACTAATTTATTTCACTTAGCTTGGTGTCAAGTTTCATCTACAACGTGACACATGTCAAAAGTTCCTTTTTTAAGGCTAATGCTTTTCTTTGCGTTTTTATTTATTTATATATTCTTTCTTTTTAATTTATTGATTTGTAATCTGTATGAGTGTTTTGCATGCATGTATGTCTGTATACCGTGTGTATACCTGGTTCCTGAGGAGGCCAGCAGAAAGCAGATCCCTGGGACTGGAGTTATAAGAGATTGTGAAGTGGGAATAGAACCCAGATCTTCTGCAGGAATAACCAGTGTTCCTACTGATCCATCTCTCCAACCCCCATATTATTATTTCTTGTTTGTCTGTTCACCCCATTTCTTTTTTTTTTTTTTTTTTTTTTGGTTTTTCGAGACAGGGTCTCTCTGTGTAGTCCTGGCTGTCCTAGAACTCACTCTGTAGACCAGGCTGGCCTCGAACTCAGAAATCCACCTGCCTCTGCCTCCCAAGTGCTAGGATTAAAGGCGTGCGCCACCACTGCCCGGCTTCACCCCATTTCTTAAAGACAGGGTCAAGACTGCCCTTATAAGATGACCATAAATTCTTGATCCTCCTGCTTTGGTTTGTTGTTGTTGTTGTTGTTTTGAGACAGGGCCTCACTATGTAGCTCTGGCTGACTAGAAACTTTTTATGTAGACCAATGTGGCCTTGAACTCACAAAGTAAATTCTGGCTCTTGAGTACTGGGATTAAAGACAAGCATCACCACCCCCAATTTTGCTTCAGTTTCCCAAATGCTGGGATTACAGACAACTAGTGATGGATTTTTGGGTTGTTCCTGTCTTTTGACTATTGTAAATATTGCTACATTTATGAACATGGATGTTCAAAACATCAAGATCTGCCTTCAGATACTTTAGGAAGCAGAATCCTTGAGTTACATTGTGTGGATGTGTGTGTGTGTGTGTGTGTGTGTGTGGCGTACGCTTGTCTGTGCAAGTGAATATATAGGCCAGAAGACAATATCAACTGTCTCCTTCACTCTCCACCTTAATTTTTGTTTTGTTTTGTTTCTTTTTGTTGTTGTCTTTGTTTTCTGAGACAGGATTTCTCTGGGTAGCCCTGGCTGTTCTGGAACTCACTTTGTAGACCAGGCTGGCCTCGAACTCACAGAGATCTACCTGCCTCTGCTGTGCTTAGAGGGCAGTGACCATGCCAGGCATCCACCTTGATTTTTAAGATGGTATCTTTCACTGAACCTGGAGCTCACCAGTTAGGTTAAATTAGCCCATAAGGTCCAGAATCATCCTGTCTGCCTCCCCAGCACTGACATTATAGGCACAAGCTACCACACTGGGCTCTTACATGGGTGCTGGAGATCTAAACTTAGGTGCTGGGGCCTCTGGGACAAGCACTTTGCCAAATGAGCCATCTCCCAGCCCTGGTCATTTTATTTTGAATACTTTGAAAGCTTCCATACTGCTTTCCATGGCAGCTGCATGGTTTTACATTCCCCTAACAGTGCCCAGACACAGTGTTTCTGTGTGCTTGCCAACACTTGTTATTTGTAGCTGTTTTTGTTGTTGAAAGCAGCTACCCAGGGGCTGGAGAGATGGCTCAGCGGTTAAGAGCACTGACTGCTCTTCCAGAGGTCCTGAGTTCAAATCCCAGCAACCACATGGTGGCTCACAGCCATCCATAATGAGATTGGATGCCCTTTTCTGGTGTGTCTGAAGACAGCTACAGTATATTCATAAATAAAGTAAATAAATAAATCTTTAAAAAAAAAAGCAAGCAGCCACCCACAATGGTTTTGATTTACAATTCCCTGGTGGTTTAGGAATGGTGTTCTTTTTGTGTGATTATTTTTCCAGTTATGTGTCTTCTTTGGAGAAATGTCAAAATCTTTTGGCCATCTTAAAATCAACTTACTGGTATTTATGTCGTGTTGTTGGAGTTGGGGCAGGGAGGAGCTTGGTGATATATAACTCGGTGGTAGAGCATTTGCCAAGAATATGCGAAGCCCTGGGTTCAAGCCACAGAAGCACATACAGAACCATAGGGCTTTTTCTGTGCTCTAAGTGTGGCTCTTTGCTTCAGCTGGCCAGCATTCCTGCCCGTTTCTCAGGTCCCCTTTTCAGTAAGTTAACTGTGACCTTAGATGTGCAGAAGCTTTTTATCTTGTGTTTAACTTGCCTGCTTGTAATCTTGCTGCCTTTGCTTTTGGTGTCAAGTCTAAAAGATCATTGCCAGATATGCCTTGAAGTTCTGTGCTCCCTTCTAAGGACTTTGGCTCAGTTTGTGTTTGTTTTTATACTGCATAAAGCAGAATTCCCGAATCTCTCCCTGTGATTATCATGTTCCCAACACCATTTGCTGAAAAGACTATTCTCTCATCATTAATCTTGTCATCCTTTTTAGAAATGCACTCGATCACTCGATCGTGTATTCTAGGTTCTGGTCTGTCTCCTTTATGTAGATGTGTCTGTATGCTTACTCAAGAATCACACAGTTTTCATTGCTACCTCTTTGTAAAGATGTCTGAAATCAGTAAGTATGAGATCTCTAAACTTGTTGTTCAAATTGTTTTCCCTGTTTTTACTCTGGATTTTGCTGTTTTGGTCAAACAGAGATGAAAATCAGTTTTGTGCTTTTTTTTTTTTTTTTGGTTTGGTTTTTCGAGACAGGATTTCTCTGTATAGCCCTGGCTGTCCTGGAACTCACTCTGTAGACCAGCCTGGCCCCGAACTCAGAAATCCACCTATCTCTGCCTCCCAAGTGCTGGGATTAAAGGTGTGAGCCACCACCACCCAGCTAGTTTTGTGGTCTCTTAAAAACAAGTCAATAAATCTAGCAAATTCTGGTGATTCACAACATCTGAATTAGCACTGGCTGCACTCAACTATTGATGAATTGGCTGTTTCTGTGAGAGATTAAAGATCATCTTTGAGACTTTGGGAAACTACAAGACTCCAGGTCTAAGGGAAAGATAGTTGCAGCCAGAGGCGGTGATCCACTGGTCCACAGACTTGCTCCAAAAAAAAAAGTAGAGAGTTCTGAGAGAGTCCAGCTAGGAAACTGTATTTTGTTTTGGTATTTGGGGAGGCTATGCTAAGATTCTCCAGAGAAACAATAAAGAGGAGACGATTAGGAGGACAGTGAAGACAGATCCATCTCTTGCTAAGTGTAATGGTATACGCCTGTTACACCAGCACTCAGGGCAGAAGCAGGAGCATGATGAGTTCAAGGCCTGATGTGGCCTTCTTAGGTAAAGCCTAGCCAGAGCTACAAAGTGAAATAATGGTTCAAACAAATAGGGAACAGATCTGGGGGTGTGACA